CTCTATAGAAGGTCTATATAGTTCTATAGATTTTTTCTGTAAGGGTACTTTCTAAGCCTTTGAAACCTCTAAATTGTCATATTTTTGGGAGATTTTCCCTGCTTCCCTATTCTGCTGAAATAATTTTTAAAAAAATTTATATTATGAAAGTCCTGGCAGTATAATTAACATTACATAGCCAAAGTCTAGGCCTATACTAAATCATGGTGTATAATAAAACATACAACCTTACAACACAAGTTTAACAAGCTAACAATAACAGGTGTTGTCATTTAATCTGTTCAGCCAACCACAGATATTCTCAAATTACTTAATTTGATTGGTCACTTTATCCATGTTTATCACTGAAGGCCATGGAAATTAACAAGGTGCTTTTGAATGTTATCAATTAACTGAAATTTGTTAGTGGTTTTAGAGCTCTTTTTCAGTGCACATTCATGATGATGAAACAGGCAGTTTAACCATATTTTCTGAAGTATTTCAGCAGTACTAATAGGTAAGAATTGTTTTTCTATTATTATTCATTTAATGTTGTTTAAATTGGCGCATTAGACTTAGTATAATGCGCATTTTAAGACAAAAATTGGATTGGTTTGGATTAGATTGGATCTCTAGGCATAGGAGCCTAGCTAGGGGATAACAAGCATGCTATAACCTAGGCCTATTATTAAGAAAAGACAGAACTGAGGATATTCTAATGAGGGCTAAGCTCAGTCTGCCCTATAATTTAAGTATTGGAGGGTGGTAAATTGGGCCGTGTTCTCACTTATTTATTATTGTAAAATCCATGATATGATTTTTTAAATAATTTTTAGGGGTAGGCCTAGGCCTTTATAGGAATAAATAAAAGGTGTAGGACTGACAATATTATCCTTAAAACTTTTTTTAAAAACAATTATACAGTATATACTTGTATAGAAACATATGTCATTGCTTTATCTATGTCATTTTTTTTCTAAATGATTACTTTGTACAAAAAGAGAGATATGTAAGAATGAAGCAAATCCCAACTGGAATTCTGCCGTATACTGTAGATCCCAGGTGGACAAATTTCTTCCCAACAGTGATTTCTTGTGGCATAATTAATTAACGTCCCTAAGTGTATGTGTTTAATTAATTAAGTCGCTATGTGTGCAGCTAGAAAACATCTTGTTTCTTATGGCCTGACGATCTGTAAAATGTAATATTAAAGCTGATTATAAAGCTCAGCTTTAAAACAGCAGTGTATGAAGGCTTTTGGAAGCACACTGGAAACACCAAAATTTTGAATGAGGCCCTCCGTGCTAAATAAAAAGTCAGCTTTGACCCTTTGACGCACTTTCATGCCCACCCTGCTGTAGATGATAACCAACTGGGTCACTGGGGTCTTTGGGTGAATTTTGGTCTGATTTAGAAGCAATTCTTCACTTAAAAAAAAAAGGATGTGAGGTTGTAGTATGAAAAGAAAACACACCTTGTGCCTTTGGAATTAAACAACAGGATATCCGAAGTTACTTACTTTTTGCTGCGAAGCAGCCAATTCATATTCTTGACAACAGTTTGACCTCAGAAAGGTCATTGTTTGTCAAAAATCAAGGGCCTAAGACGACTGAAAAGCGGAGTTTCCTTCTTTCGTTCTGCCGGGTAAAATCAATTACTTGAGGCGACGTTTGTAGACTAACTAACACATACCAACGTCCGCATGTCGCGCTAGCCTTATCCTACTCTAGGCCTAGACTAGCTAGGATGGTATAGGCCTAGCCTTGAAGGGACGAAGGTCCCAATGAAAAACAACGTCGCTCCTTGATAGCTAACATTGTCTATTTAACATCACAATAATTCATTATTAGACCTATATTTGTTTTTTGAATTGTACTCCACAAATCTCAGCCGATACCTCACACAACTCGTGTAACATCTCGTATCTATTGTTGTGACGTCATGGCTCGCTGGCTCACACTTGCGATGTCTCGCACTTGTGATCAAATAACGTGTTGGCTCGCACTTTGGCAACACTCTTTGGCAGTCAACTAGCCCATAGAAAACCCGCCCTTGGAAACTTTCGCCATAAAAAAATGTACACTTCCTAGACCATGCAGACACTTTTTGACAAAAATGAATAATTACAACTTTGTTACCCAATGAGAAGTGTTCTAATATAGACAATGGGTCGTGTCTCATATTATTTCTTATATTTTTATTATTCATTATTTTCACTTGACTCGCATAAATAATTTTGTTCGAAGAACATTTATATGCAGTTGTACTTCACAGCACTTGCAATTTGCAATTTGCAATTTCTAGTTTGATAGTAAATGTTAGGATATATTGTATTACCTAAAATGTTTATTCTGTGTCAGAATAAATGTAGATTGTAATACCTGTTGTGAAAATATGGGAGTTAGCTCCACATTTCTTCAAAATCAAAAGGTATTGCATTTGATTTGATTTATTACATATCCACAAAGAACATTACATAAAATGAGCAAGCATTCAAAATACAAAGTACAAGTTAGAATTAACTAATTCAACGTGGATAACTAAGTAAAGTTTTAAACAAATGTAAAACGTATTTGCATTTGGGATCCATAACAAGAAGTAAAGTAAAACAAAATGCCTCATGCTGTAGAACAGAGATGCTTCTGAACTAGGGTTTTGAACTATATGCACTATTGATGGTCTTAATATGCTCTATATTGATTGCATTATAATATATATAAAGTTGATTGCCCTATGCCATTTAGACATGGTATCTCAAAATTGTATCTTCAGTTTTGATTGTATTGTTTAACATTTGTCAAAAATATCATACCTGCCAACTGTCCCGATTTAACCGGGATCGATCGTCCCGATTTCGAATGTCAAAACACCAAAAAATCGGGAGTTCCCTAATTTTAGAATTTCAAAAAAAAAAATTTACATTGTAAGAATTATCCAGTAGTTACCAATGTGATGGATGGGGTATTAGTCCGTAGCTCCCCAGGTGTAATCCCACTCCACCTCGCGCTGTGAATTAACAATCCGATCAGCCAACTGGTGGGTCTCTTTAGGGACGAAACCGCTGTATTGTCTATTTTTAGCTGCAGCTGTGGAACATGTGAGTCTTTACGCTGTGAATCCCCTGTGAATTAATGATCTGATCATCCCACTGGGCGAGTCTCTGTAGGGAAGAACCATGGTGTTGTCTATTTTTAGCCGCATTTAGCGAGCTGTTTGTTTTTTAGCGACAGTAAACAACAAAAGAATTTACAAGGATGGGCTTTGTGTTCAACTTCATGTGTCTGTTCTAAGCAATTAAAAAAATTTCAAGTTGGCAGAATTCAGAGGCAGTTTCTTTATTTTTTGTGAGCATTTGTTAAATTTACTGACCTAGGCCTAGGCCTACTCACACAATTTTCTGGGAATTTACCTGGGGAAATTTTTGCAGGCAAAGTTAGTTGGGCGTAAAGTCGGGGGTGGGATTATACCTGAGGTGGGACTATACCTCGGGAACTACGGTAGTATTTCATAGCAATAGTGCACTGACTGTGAGAGGGTTTTTCTCTATTGTTGCATCATCTTGTCAGCACTCTATCTGTTTAATAGCTCTATGGGTGGGCCGCACAACAAGGCACTGACTCGCGTATCAAGGCGAATGGAGGCGCGCGTGGGAAGGCGTTCAAACTTTTCATTGAACTTTTTGTCACGTCGAACGATCTTAGAAGGGAAAACAGTGCAAGGTAAAAATGAAGCAAGCAACAGATAATATATACGGACAAGTAAAAACATTTGCGGACAACCAAAGTTTCCATCTAGGTTGACCGCCGGACAACTTTAAGTTTTTCCTTATTTCGAACACTGGGTTGGGGCGTCCCTATTTTTGATATTCTAATGTTGGCAGGTATGAAATATTGTTGTAAAATGTGTCCTGGTTAATTCATTATGTCGTCTTAATGCTTTAATGTGTGAAAAAAAGTGCATATAGGATTTTCCTACTTTCTCACCCCTGTTTGCTTTTAAGACAGTTATTTTTCATTATAATAACTTGCAAATAAATTTTACTTAAAAGAATTTTAACTAATATAACAAACTTTCCTTTTTTCCAGGTGTCCGTACGACCGTTTGAGCATACTCAGTTTGAGTGCTTCATTCCGTCAGCTTATCCATATTACAGTAGTGTGTTTTCCATGATGGTTGGCCTCTTTCTATTCAGTCTCGTGTTTTTACATTATAAAGAAGAACCAAAGGACAAGAAGGAGTAGATAAAATTTTCTTTTAAAATCTCTTTTTAACTTCCTAGTCCTATGAAACAATTTCTTTCCATAGACACATTTTGGTTGTTTTTCTCTTCTTTTTTTTTCACTTTCATTCCTCATAATATAAAATGTATTGCCTATTATAGTTAACATTTTAATTCTGGACACATGTTTAAGATTGTAAAATTTGCTTCTACCGTAATTTTTATTAGCGGATTACATCAAGGTGGTTACAATTTTATTTAGTATTATGACATTCATTAAGATGGAATTAACTAGCTGAATAGAAACATAATTTATTTTAATTTGTAAAGCCTGTAAGAAAGTTTATGATTGGAACTTCACTAATAAAGATGCTGTACAGGGGGAAAACTGTTGAGAAGATTTGTTGTTCTTAATGTTAAGTTAAGATCATCTAGTTTACACAGTAACATGAAGTCTGTGATCAGTGTAACAT